GTGTAATTGACCCACATTGAAGAATATTCAGAATCATGTCCATAGAGATCTCCGCAGGGAAACACATGCGACGCATCGATCGCAGTACACATGAATATCCTTAATGCGATATTAACATTGGATGTCTCGTAATTTTGACGTCCCAGTAGGGATGGTACAAGAAATATTTATATAATTTGAAATCGTTCCTGTTCTAACGGGTGAAAATTTTACGCGATGAAAATTTTACGTGTATCATGACAGCGGAGAGAAATATGATATGTATGTGCGGACGTTTAAAGGTGTCATGCGTTTCACGTAAGATGTCATGTATGTTACGTTCCTGGCTCGAGTTAACTTGTAAGGCAAACCGATACATACACTTCAATGCAAACGTGCTATACCGGACACTGACGTGGGCACACACGATCGTATATTGTAACACAATGGCCTGTCCTTCGGCTGCGTACAGCAGAGTATGTGATGTCTGCTAAATGAGAATGAGAGTCTCCGTGACTTACAATAGCGCAAGCGAGAATATTATGTTTGCATTAGTCAAATCATTTGAATTGGAATCATTTAAATTAGCTACTATCTTGTAATTTTAAATGAGATGAGAACGTATCTCGTTTTTTTAATCGATAAACATACCTGATGTTTTCGAAATCGTGTGTGTGTAAGTTATTATTTCATATATATTCGAACCAATTGTACTAAAAAAATTAATTTTTAAAACATTTTCTCTTCTAAATGATGCTTTTTTTATTACGAGAGAATAATGGTGCCTATATCATCGTTAAAATTGGTGAAAAGTTTTGAATGTTTTGAAATATATGAGTTAATCTTGTGCAAGAACACAGCTGTGGAAACATTGTGTGCGAACCTGTGAAATGAACCGTAAAATTCTGGAACACTAAACAGCACGATTTAAAGCATCACGCGCAAACGGGTTGGCAAAAGGAGAGAGATAGAAAGGGGGAAGTGGAGAGACTTATTGCAACCTTGGTAATTTGTGGCAAGGATACGAGTAGCACGTATATTCCGGAACGCAACGAACCGACTGCAATTTCAACTTGATGCTTACATATAGGTATAGGTAGATGTATAGGAATAGGATAACTGGAAATTTAATATGAAAACGATACAGTACCCTGGCTATCCCTCTCGAAGATATTTTGCTAATGAAATTTGGTATTATGCTCTTCGCTTTTTACGCTTAAATTAACCCCGCAAAATAGCATTTATGTATTTGTAATGGAAATACCATAGAGTGAAGATAGAAGTGATTCAACGTCCGAAATTGAAGAAGAATCCAACGAGAGACGGCAGAAAGTGCCTGCTATAAAGTATTTATCAGTAGTCAGGATTTGTTTTATATCTGACACTTTCTACTACTCAAACTTACTTTATTTATAACACACAGATTTATCAGTAGTTAGGATCGGTTTTATATCAGACATATATTTCTCTTCTTCAGAGAGTTTTCTATTTTTTTTTTACAGAAATAGAATTAATGTATTGCGAGATGTTTTATATTACGTATGATATAATTGCTTCCTACCGGTTTTTGCCATTAATTTCTTAATCAACTTTCGTGTTAAAAACTGAAACAAATTGTCATCGTCCTGTTATATGTATTTCCGACGAGATTCGTAGCTGCGCCAAGTTGCACATTATATAAACAAGAAATTGCAATTATAAAGAACCCGCAAGAAGCTGTTATTATGTAGGTACAATAGCAAGAACATAAAGAATCGCACTCATCTATGAAACTTCCGCCATTTCCTTAATGCTTGCTAAGTAGTGATAGCAACTTTACGGAATTCTTATTCGCCCTACTAAAGTTAAAACAATCTCTTAGCGTTCCATATTTCGTATTTACACAGCGTTTACACTGTTCGCAATTTAATAACAACTTAACACATATATGTATATAGAACAATTACTTCAATAAGTTTTTATAAGCAGAATACAATATCTATATTAATTGTTAACATTGAATTCTTTGTAATTTGGTTGGCGATTACAGTATGAATTAGGTATGTACTGTGACCTAAAATGCAAGGATTTTCTCTCAATTGATAATACAGGACCTTCCATTAAGAGATTTTGCTTTAAATTAATAAAAACACGAATAAGTTTTTGAAAACGTCGAGATATATTTATTCTAATCCAAAATACAGATTATGCGATTAAACATGGAACACAATATCAACCAAATAACCTCCTCGACTTTTCTTACAAATGGTTCTTTTGAGGAAATTTTTCATCACTTTTTCACACAATTGCGGCTCAATTTCACCAACAGTTCGAATATTGTCTTTGAGCGCCTGAATCTTTTGCGGAGCATTGCGTGAACCTTATTCTTTACACAACCCCAAAGGAAAGGATCCAGAAATGTGTCAAATCACACGATCTGGGTGGCCAACTGAAGTCTCCGTTACGCGAAGTGACACGTCCAGGGAATTTCTCCGTGAAATTTTCATCGTGTTTGTAGTGAGTTTTCACTATTTCTATGCATTGTTCAAGCAAATATCAATCAATTGTTATTAACTGTATAGTTTTTACTGGACAACTGTCAAATTTAACAACTCTATCCATAACAGGTACAAAATGTGCTGCGAAATTTAAAATAAAACATCTTAATGGAAGACCCAGTATAAATCCATTCGTTTGCTTACGTATAATATATTCTAGTGTCTAATCTGCATGTTCATCAGTTCATCACTATGCGAGCTTGATGTGTACTTCAAAATTCGCTCAACAAACAAGACTCCGAAAGCTTCTGCGGTTGGTTCGGCTTCAAATTACAAAGGGAGAGTGTAAACTTTATGTCCTACTTTGGTATCACGTGCTTATGCTTACGCGGTATTACAGATGTTGATAATATCTGTCTGATACATTTGATATTTTCCTTCTGTTTTATATACTAGCTTTTATGTATATACTGTTTTATGTAATAGCAAAGCTGCTTACTTAACACTAGAACTGCGGGTCTAAATGAACCCAATCGCGATTTCAGGTAAATCTAACGGTAAAATTGCTAGCTCTTTACAAGAAAGGATTGTCATTATAAAAGTAAAAATTTGTAATTAATTATGATTATTCATGAAAAGTCATAAAAATTTAAAGTGCCACGTGTAAATCCAAATTAACTCGAATAGAAGAACTATTAGATGAGTCAAAAATAGCACAATCGCGGTTCTAATTAATTTAGCAAGCAATAGGAAAAAGAATTGCTATGCTACGTAATAATACGAAGACATGCGTCGAGGAGATAACCACCTAATCGTGGGACAGAGTCCCCGAAATCATTATAAAATCTATAAGAAATCCCTATGTATAATCCGATAATTGCATGTGCAACTACGAGGAATAATTGTATAATATTAGGTAAAGTAAATGAGATTATTAAACCAAATAACCTCATATATAATGAAAAGGATCGTTTTTTATCATATAAGGTCGTATGAAATCGAATGAAATCATGTGGCCTGTGAGACAGTATTTCGGCTAGTGGTTCGACATGCGTGATATACTCGTACACTGTAAAAAATAATATGTTAATTTTAACTCAAAGATGTTGAGTGGATTTTCTGAAACACAAAAATGTTAATTTTAACATTTTTGCATGTCTCAGAAAATCCACTCAACATCTTTGAGTTAAAATTAACATTTTATTTTTTACAGTCAACGTCTTTGAGTTAATACTACAATACCTTAAAACTTTTAGAACAAATATTACTTTAAAGAATGAAATCATACTTTTAAAAATAGAAAATGGAGCTATTCTCTTTCAAAACTCAATGTTCATTTTTTAAAACGAGATTCTACTCCAAAGAATTTAAAGAATATTTATGTAAACATGAAGGAACTCAGCTAGATGGTTCATATATAAGCATATAGAGCCTCGTTGAAAATTTTATAACGTTACGAGTATAAAAACGGTCTGGACTTTTTTCATCTCACTTTTGTAAGCGTTTGTGAAGAAATATCACTACGTACCACTTCTACGTTCGAGCGCTCGTAAAATCGGGAAACAAAGCAAGGTCTTCCCAGAACGCTTTCCTTTTGTGAAATTCGAAAGGTATTGTTGATTTACTGTATATCGTAGGAGTGTGGAAATGAATCCTTATCGTTAAGTAGACATAATAAAATTTGATTTATGTATAACGGACCTGTTACTTTTTCATAAGATATATTGTATTGTTTTTATAATACTTGACATGAAAGCATTTCCAATTTCCGCGTTCAATAACACGCTGAATGATCAAACGTGTCCGAATGGACATGTGTATTTATCTCTTACAGTTTGTCAGATTGTATAATTTAAATGTCAGTGCGCTGTTATTAGATTTTAAGAGAATTTTATTTGGGAGAGCAAGAGAACATATTTTGAATAAGAATTTTATTCTATATGTATCTTCAGTAACACTAATTGCAAAAGAGATAAAGTAGATGACGTTACTACGAGATAATTAATCGAGGTAATTGGTAATGACATTTAAAAGTATGAGCGCTGTCGAAAGTTAAACTTTTAAACAAATTTTACAGTCGCGCGCGTGGAGAGTGCAACAAAACGCGTGAATTTCTTGCAAATAAAACGAGACCGGGGTTTATCTGTTTACATTCTCTCGCGTTTCTTCCACTTTGGCAAAAACTGCTACTGTTCTAAACTCTAGCCGGCAAACGTGGAACAACCACAAAATTGTTTCTTCTTGTTAGTGAAGGTTTTCAACTAAACCGGTGAGAGTTTTAAAAATGAATAAGTAGTCGAAACGGCGACTCCTAACTTTGTCGAAATTATACCGGCTGTAATGGGAGTTATTAAAAGCGTCATTAATTAGTCCGTAAGGATGTGCGGCCATTGCCGTTCTTTATCACGGCTGTAGATACTCGCAAAAAAATGGCTGCAACTTTTATCCTCTTTATTTGAACAAAGCTTATTTTATGGTAATTACGAAAATGTCTAAAAATAATTTTCTCGTTGAGATTCAAATTTGCTTTTTCTTACAACTCACCTCGCAGAAGACACGTTGCGCCAATCGCGGCGAAAAACTTCCAATAATGATCCTAGTGTCCAATTCCTGGAATGGCGATACGTGTATCTTTTATTAAAAAAGGTTTCAGTTTCCATTTGACGAAGCATCGCTAATACACGTAAATGCGATAAATGATACTAATGAAGCAAAAGAGATAGTGATGATTGAGCGTTGAAAATTTTATCGCGTCGCAATTTTACGTTAATCCGGATTTAATTTTTATGTCGGGCTTTTCGTGCGCTAAATATCAACAAATGATATTTTCCCAGGTGCTTTTAAAGTATGTCCAAATCGTTATTTGACCAGATATCGAGTCAATTCGCACACATCGTACGTTGCAAGTGTAAATCGAATCCCGATGCGTCTATATATTGCGCTTCCAATCGATACCTTGACGTTCATTTCACGAAAACGGACTTTGAATTTCAAAGCAAGCGAATTACGTGAAAGACAAAAGATTCTCGCACCATCAAGTGAGCTGGCTGATCGATCGCATTGACCAAATCTACTACGTAGATCTAATTGCACAAAACGATCACTAGTACTTGATCTCGTAAAGAGGGACCAAAGGTGAGAAAACAGCGACTTTTTACCTTTAAGGTTCGTAGCTGCTCCTTGTAATCGTTCTCGGCGAATGTAATAGTTGCGGTGCACGTGATATTCGCCTGCTCCAGTTCCGTGACCAGATCATTCACTGCCTGAAACAGAGACGCGTCATATACGTGCGACGTGTGGAAGTATACGCGCTGGGGAGCCGGCGGCAGCGAGAAATGGCAATGTGCCGTTCGTTTGTCTCCCGTTCTATTTGCGCAAAACAAGAATCGCGTATGTCACCCTTACAAATACGCATCGTACGTCATGGTGACGCGACAGAAGTACCGTTATCCGAAAAGGATTGCTTCCGCGCCGCGTAGTTTCATTCGCTTCGCGGCCGGTTTCTTCTCGGCAAGCGCGTCGCTTTGTGTCACACGTAATTTTATTGGTGTGACATTCGCAATTCTCTTATCATTACAGCACATGCTTCACGATGCAGCAAGTCGCAGGAATACGGCGTTCCCGGATCGTCCTCGTACGTTCGGATATGAACGTTTATTTCGAAAGTCGTTTAAGCTAGTTTGGGAACAATATGAATTTTAACGAGGCGCGGATGTAAACTGACACGTCGATTTCCGCAGAATTTCCGCAACCGCTTTTACATCAATTTCGAGATAGATGACATACGTTGCCCGCACTCTTTATTAGAAATTTATCGAATCAAACTTCTTTCCAGCGGGGCAAACTCAGTTTTTCAATTGTGAATGAATATATTGGAAAAAAATACATAAAATGTGTCCTATCAAATTGGCGATAAATATATTTTAAAGCCAGATTCTTTATAGCATTTTAAGACACAAAGTCTAATACAAAAATGATGAGAGGCTCTGATGATAGTTTTCAAATGAGCACAGAGTTTAGAAATTACTGACAGCTCTGGTAGAAAAATTTGTTCGAATGTGTCCAAAATTGTCCAAAATGCACAAATTCGGGTAGTTATACAGACAAAATGAAATACTTTTTCGACAATAGTGTCTGAATTTGTCAAAATTTGTAATTTTTTGATATTCTTCGGACAAACTCTGACAAATTTTTTCCACCAGGGAGGACTAGAATTTCGCGCATTCAGAAATAGTAAAGTCAGTGTGAAAGTACTTCTTCGAACTCTTCTTCATGCCTCTGACAATAACAATATTCAGTACTTTTATTGCAGTGACCATCTTGTACCTGAGCTTACAAAATTCCAGCTCTGTGTTACACGTAATCTCTTTCCATTTGAAAACTACCATAGCCTCGGCATTTTCATATTAGATCTTTCGTCTTAAAAAGTTGAAAAAACATTTATCTTCAAAATATTAGAGGAGTAAAATTTGGTATACATTAACAGAAATTTTCAAATTGTATAGATTAAGGTCGTACAGTGTATTCAGTAAAACGTACAAAACGTACTATTCATGGTGCAATAATGTACGTTGTGTATGTTCGAATACACTGTGCAACTTCAATCTTTTATACAATTTGAGAATTTTTGTTAAGCCATCTAAATTATCTTGCTTTGTCCAAATATTTTTTACTCGCACAGCAGTAAAAAGAATTGTATTGCTACGAAAATTGTTAGTTCATTATTTTGCTTTGCTTCGTTTCGAAATCCTAGTACTGCGACGCCCTTGGATCCATTCGTTATACATATGTATATTCCTAGACTATATTAAAGCCGGATGTGACGTGTGGTAGCTTCCGTTACAGTGTAACGACGGAAATTGACCGAGAATTAACCGAAACGTGATACCAAACGCGCGGCGTTCTAGTTAACTACGCGTGAGTACAAATCGAAAGTTAATTAAAGCCGACATAACGGGAACTTCATTGTATAGATCGCACGTCACGCCGGGCATAAACGAACTTCCGCGGTGCAGTTCGCAATTAAACACGCGGTTACGTAAAGCGAGACAGAGATAAATATAACGATGGAAAATGTCCTCGCTACCGTGTTATCACACACATTCCCACCGTATTTCGGATTCCACTTCATCTGATCTCGATATTACGGTAAAAGCAGCGATTGGGAATATTGGATTTATAAGTGGATATTTTTTGGTGCAAATTTCAATCGCGATTAACGTCAACTGCAATTTGAATGCCGTGCGTTCTTTATAAAGGAGCCGATTTCCACAATTCATTATCAAACGTAATTTTTCAAATATAATCTCTGTGAATTTCGATAATGTTTCATACTCGCATTCATTTCATACTTCATTTATTCAAGAATGTAAAATTAGAAAATTGTATCGCTTAAACAAGCTTGTAAATTCCATATTTACATCTCTATGCTTATATTTTTGCATTACGCATCATGCAATTTGTATGAAAAGAGCGATCCCAAATTTAATTCATTTTGTGGCTCTCAAATTCCAAATTAAATTGTGCCAAACGGTGTTATGTGATAGTTCATTAATTTTAATAAAATATTTTGAGTACAATCTCGACGAAAAATTGTATAACACCCATCAATATTGCAACCAAATTATTTCTGGTGCAGGTTATCAAAGTTACGGGAAGCCGCTTCGATAAATTTGGGTAGTCGATTGGCGCGACGTTCGCGTTCCTTATGACCTACTTACCAAAGAGTACATGTCGCCTGTTTGCGAAAGCGCGGTGACGGTGTCCCATCCAAAGTGTTTGATCAATGCTATCCTGGCTGGATTGTGACTCGAATCCGGCGCAACGGTTCGCAGAAATAGGGGGAACTCGTTGGAATCTGAGAGTGCTGGTGCCGTCGAACCAAATGACACCTGGATCACGTTCCAATAAGGAACAATTTTGGCCAGAGTCTCGGTGACTTCGGAACAAGCTGTGCCGAGCAGGAATGGCATCAGGTGCTTCTTCCTTGTTGAATACAAGGCGTGAAAGAATCTGTCCACAGCCACTCCCGAATCGCACTAAAAGATAAATCGTTGAAATTGTAATATGAAAATTTAAAACAAATTGTGCATTATAATATTCAATAATTTATTACACGGAAACGTCTCGAAATTACAAAGAAAGAATTTACCGTTGAAAAACGCAATAAATATTGTAATGAAAATACATATTGTATACTAAAAAAAATTGACTGAATCTTTGCACTAATACCAAACACATTTAACAGTACATTATACTTACAGAGAGTAAATAAATATACATTCAATAAAAAAGAAATAGTTAAATCAAATTGATGATTCTTTGTACCAAAAATATATTTATATACATCTAATAAATATTTAAGTTGTAGTATATTCAGATAAATATTTATTAAAATTTAGTATATTTTTTAAGTATATTAATTGTTAAGATATATTGAAAATCATATATTGTGTGTGGGTGAATTATATTGATTTTGAAACTTCTTCGTTCAAATTCGATTCAGAACCCGAGAGAAATAGCATGTATAGGGTTAGTGTCAATTGAATATTGACAATGACAAAGATTGCCACTTGAATGATTGACATACAGGACAAAATTATCATTGCGGGCGAAAAAAGCGTCACACGTGTTTGAGCTGAGAATGGTGTCTCTAAGATAAATGAGAGGAAGACCCAGTCCGTTTTAACGAGCAATTATTCAACGCAAGTGGAGACCGGAGCAAACTTGAATGTGCGAAAAAATCTCGAGGATCTTCGTCTAGATGCAGGATGGCAAGGGAAGCAGGGACTTCCAAATCTAACTTTTACAACACGAGTACTATCTACTCCACATCTTGTTACAATTTCATTGGATCTCGATGAGAGGACGCACTCGAAAGTCGAAACTCGACCAATCATCTTCGAAGAAGAAATTGGAGTCTCCATCTGCCCCGGTTCAACAGTTTGAGTGGCCGTTCTAAAAAATTGTATTAGATATTGAGTTATACTGACCTACATGTCCGTTACTGTTTGTTGTATTAGTAATAAAGAAGTATATGCGGAACCGTATTTATTTCATTGAGAGAACGATATCAAATGAATGAAGTTTGTGATTTGCCAAAGTAAAATAGTGAAATCTTGAGAGCGGAAGAGAGAATGTATGTATGTTTCATAGTAGAAATTTGTTATTGTAAATTATGTACATGTCGAGCAAGCGTTCGTCATCTTCATAGCACGTTTTGAGAGCCATGACTGATATTCTGAATGCAACTACTAGCTTAACGAACGTGGTGTGACATGCATATCCATGACTTTCGCGACATTTCTGTTTACGAGGACAAACAGCTCGTGTAAATTCTCATTCGATGTCGTGCACCAGCATCAGTTGAGCTCTCAATTCGCCTGTTTTCACGACAAGTAAATCAAATGATAAAAAATTAGCACTTATAATACGATTATGGAGCTTGAAACCTGTTACGTATAAAGTATGGTCGGTGTTATTCAACATTCGAGAGCGAATAAATGCAGATGTAATACAGATATTTTTTGCAATGAGAAAGTTTTCACGTTTTTAACTTTTTAGTTTTTTAAATATGTTATGGTACAAAAATTTAACAATAAATTATAATTAATTTACAAGATAATATAATCCCCATATCTTCTTGATTTTGTTGCTCGATATTCTGATTTAATCCAATCTTGTTGCAAATAATCTATCAAGATTTTTATTAAATTGGTAAGTTTAAAATGTTATGCTGGCATGGAACAGTAGTTTTCGAAGGTTCTTGAAGCAACAAAATCAAGTTGAATTACATTATTAAGCAACAAAATCAAAAATGATTTATGTATTCCGTTCCATCGTTATACAGATTAATCATAATTCTAGAAGAAATGCCCTCTTGTATTGTTTGTGTTACATAGCGTGTAACAAGAGTTATGGTTGTCGATATTGAATAGATATATTCAGATGAATATATTCATCTCAATTAAAAAACTATTTATATTCATCCCGCGAATGAATAAATATTATATCGAATATACATATAGAATAATGAATATTGTCATGTATAGATTTTTTGTTTTGATTAATCAAATTCTATATATTCAATATAATGCCTATTAAATATAAATAGTTTTTGTATTGATAAATATATTCACATAGTGAATATTTCTATTCAATATCAACACCTCTATATGAGGCTTTTAGACGCTCAATATTGTTGTACAATTGTTTTGTTTAATATTATTTTTATTATAATATTATGATATCTCTTTAAAATATTCAAAACAATCTATATATTCAACATAGACGATAACAATGTGCAATATCAAATATTGTGCAATAATATGATTGCCTAGGGATTGCTTTACGCTTCAAGATCTCGTGTCTTTTAGTGCAGCAATATTCACCTTTCTGTCGGAGATGAATATTGCTGCGATGGATGATCGTCTCGGTCCGTCTATTTATCTTTTATTTCATCGCTATAAAGATTTCAAAAGTGGTGCTCGAGAGTCGCTCGCTTTTACGTCGCGGCTATAGATTTTCTTTTGGAAAAGTGCACGTACCGAAGTGACCGATGAGCCATTTCTATCGGATAATATTGCGCTTCGCAATTTCGCGTTTTTTATTCCGTCGGAAGTGATTATCGTGTGCTAATGAGGACTGAAAATTTTGAATCGAACAACGAGCCATTGCTTCGGGGCGTCCATTATTATAAATGTACCTACGCGTAGAATATTCAGTATTACGAATTGCGCTGCATTCAGCACATCGCGCGTTAGTTCGTAATATCCGTCGCTTGCCTGAAAAAGCTATTTTCAGTTGTTGTGTTTCTAGTTTCATTGATAAAGATCTAGTTTCTAGTTTCATTGATAGTTTCATTGATAAAGATCTACTATAATTGAGATATTTAAAAAGAGAGAAGAGAAATGATGCTCGAGCCGTATTTTGTCTATGTCGCGACTTTTTTTCTCCTCGAAAAGTGTCAAGATGGCCAGTGATCTCTTTTTTCATTATTTTCAAATCTTCGATAAACTTACTTCGATATTTTAAGCTTCTATCTATAACTCTTAATGATAGTTTCGATACAGTGTGTACGGTATCGAAATTAAAGTTGAAGAATAAGGTCTACGCAATGACAATGTAACAACATCGATACCGTCATTGAAAGTTATAAGGATTTTACGTAGAAATTATGGTTTTTATCAATGCAGTAATGTAACAGACTAACTTTAATCTTGATTCAACTTTTTATCTAGTTCTAATTCTAAGTCCTATTTATAATAAGGGCTTTCATTAATATAAAAACTTTAATGTATATTTTTTTTAATTCTTAATATTACAAAAAAATAGTTTAACCGAGATTAAAGTTAAACTTAAATTGGTGGAACCGAGCTTTAGAATTAGAAAAAAATGAAGATGAGTTGAACTGAGATTAAATCTATATTCGATGAAAACGGGAATTAGTTTTGTTGCGAGGTACGAGTACGAATTACTTTTTATCGTTCTTTTTTTTTATCCGTTGAAAGTGAATATCGTGAACGAGTCGGGAGTGTCGAATTGTGTAATAGAGTTGTAATAGACGATCATTCCGCCCGTTTACTATATCTTCTACACGAAGAAAGGAAAGACATACCCGGAAGCTGAAAGGAATGAGGTGATGACGATGCATCGGTCGGTGAGTGAGTTACTTGTTGCATTCCATTATCACTTACCACTCGACCCTAATCATGGCGCTTATGTTTTTTAAGTTGTAAAATATATCCTTAATCCTCCATTTAGCTTAAGTTCTTTTACTGTTTTCATAAGCTTTCAAAAAATGTGGAAAAATTTAGGGTTACTTTTCAATATTTTTATTACACTAAACTCTCTATTTTTCTTCACTAAACAGATTTTTTAAACAAATATTATAGAAGAGGGAATCGAACTTCACTATCCGTTTCGGAGAAATTTGAATGAAACTTTATTTGTACCAAAAAAGATCCGAACAGCAGATGGAGCATATCATTCTTCTGGACAATGGCGAATTTCTACATTTGTAACATCATCATATTTTATATCGCAGGAACTTGGACCGAAAAACTTCGGACCGAGACTAAATCCAACTTGATTCCAGCTTTTTTACCGTAACAATTACCGGGACCATTTGAATTTAAATTAAACTTAACCTGATGTTTAACCCAATGGGCTTCACCCATGACATCATAGATAAAATGTAAATTGAGTAAAACATTAGGTTAAGCCTCTCTCTAATCACAATTAACCTAAAAATGAAAAACCACGGACTTTACACAATCCTTTTCGGTTCTTTTCGATTTTGGTTTTTGATAATTATTATATGTAGGGTAAATTAGGGTATTATGGCCATACGGATAAGATAGCCATAGGTTGTAATTTCTTTAATAATCGTTAAGTAGAGCGTTTTTGTAGTCATTCTGAAAGACTATGGCCATCTTATCCGTTTGGCCATCTTACCCTAGTTTACCCTATATACATGTAACGATCACTGATCATATCTATGTAACGATTATACTGTTAAAAGAAGTGGAACCGACACAGAAAGTTGAATAGCTTCGAATCATTACCGTAACCAGGTCGAAATTTTAATCCGGAATATAATTTTGGTCCGAGTCCTTGTTTTGTACAAAGAAATTGTTACTTCTTCAGTAAAAACTTATCACTATTATTTTTTAAGCCTAAATTGAAAGATCATACGTGAGTAGAGAGATAGGGAGGATTCTAATTCACTATGTGTTAGTGCGTATACGTATATGCGGTATGTGTGTGAGTGAGGGATCTGGGGAGGGGGAAAATGCACACAGACGCTGGGTCCGGGGAGGAATGGAGGGGGGTAGTACGTCACAGGGGGAAGGGTCTGCGGGGGAGAGAGAGGGTCCTTCTCTCTCCCACTCATTGCGTTCTCTCTCTGTCTCACCCATTGCGTTCCTTAAATTCCGCCCGTTACAGTCTTCATTTGCGCTCTCTCTTTCTAACTTGTTGTCCACTCTCTATCCAACCTATTGCAGTTCTATACTTACCGTATTACTTGTGGCGTCGA